AGCTTGTTGAGCCCACCATCCACCCCCCCCCCCCCCCTCCCCCCTCCCCCTCCCCCTCCCTTCCCCTACCCCTACCCCTATCCTTTCACTCCTTCCCTGATCACTGCCATCACCTCGGATCAGCTTCAGTGTGTCGGCCATCGTAGCAAATAAGCGAATTCAGAGATCACCAAGATCATGTTCCATGGAACACCATCTTCGGGATGGTCGGGTGGAGAGGCATGCTGTGCCGTGACATACCCATCACCTGTCAATTCCGTTCAAACAGTCCACATCTCCACCACAGACCAGCGCGAAAGCCTACCTCTACGCTCAGCTCTCCTCTCTTTGTCCTCCACCTCTCCACCTTTCCAACGCACGTATCCATGCACGCCGTCCATCGTTCCGCACCCCATGCACCCCACCAAAATTTTTATACCAGAAATTCATCCCCCCCAACTCCCCCCGCCCCACAGCCGTACTCCCAACGGTTCCGCCGTCCACCGACAAGCGACCGACGACGGGCACAGGCGACTCTGTATGGGGTGCATCTCATCGCGAGAGCGGCGCGTGGGCCCAGAAAGCACGAGCCATGGGGATGCGTACACAGGAACAGGTTCAGCACCGTCAGTCGTTGAGCTCTCAAATAGCTTGACCGTAGCCACCGCAGTGCGCAAGCGGAGAGCGCCAAGACTCTCGGGAGACGGAGAGGTGGAGGTGGAGGGCGAGGCACCGCCTGGACGGAGGGCCAAGCCACGAAACAAGGTGACACGTTCGGCAAGACTCTCAAGCTATCTTGTTGACGATGACCCATCTCCGATTGGGGCTCATCCTCGCCCGGCCGAATGGCTCAAGTCGCCGCCACGCCCTACTGCTGCTGGCGCTCCGGCAACATCGGCAGGTGCTGCCGCCATCGCTGCCCATGACTCGCACGGGACGCAGCAAGTTGATCTGGCTCATGATCACGTCCATAGCAATTCGGCGTCCCTGCTCGGCTGGTGGCCTGTGCTCGATCCGGAGACCGGCAAGATCAAGGTGGTGCGGCGGGCACGGCGACGGCGCCGCAAGCGCAAGCACAAGCCGTCGGGCGTCGAGGCGGAGGGTGCGGGTGCGAGTAAGGCTCGCGCGTCTGGCGGTGAAAGACAGGCGGGCGAGGACCGTGGTGTCGAGGCCGTCGAGGCCAGTTGCAGTCATGCCAGCCACGTCGAGGTGCCGTGCCCGTGGGGTCTTCCGCTGGAGCTGTTCGTTACGCTCACGCGCGCGCTGGACTCGGGCCGGAGCGTGGTTCTGCTCGGCAATCTGTCGCGGGAGTGGGCGCGATTCTTCGATGCATCGCATGCTTCGCTGTGGCGGGCGCTGTGCAAGGCGTGGGCGGTTGACGGGTTCACCAAGCGGGCGTTTGTGCGGAGCGCGGTGGCGTTCCCGGGCCTGCAGCTGCTGGTCATTGGCGAGGCGCAAGCCGGCAAGACCTCGCTCCGACATGTGCTTGTGGACGATGCCGACGAGCCGATGCCGACGCGTGGCGTGTCTGCGCGGCTCGTGCCGTTTCCCTTTTCGCGCTTTGTCCTCCACAAGTCGCGGTGGCCATCACTGATGGCTGCCGACAAGCCGCTTCCGCTCGCACTGTGCGAGGTTGGCGGTTCGCGCATGGCCATCAAGTCGTGGCCGGCGCACTACGTTGACTCGCACGCCATTGTCTACGTGCTCTCGTCGCTCACGCTCGACGGGGCAAGCATGGACGAGGTCCACCGGACCCTCGACGGTATTCTCTCGTCGCCGCTCAACACCGGCAAGCCGCTGCTGATCCTCATCAACAAGCAGGACCAGCGCGAGGTGTCTGCTGGCGACTTTGTCCGCGGCGCTCGCATCTCGTCACTTGTTGCCAAGCACAACGTCGCCATCCTCATCGAGCAGTGCACCGCCCGGCCGTCGGCCGACGCCACCCTCGGCGTCCCGCTCGCCTCACAGGCTGCGCGCTACTGGGACCGCCGCATCCACATTGCCTTTGCGTCGCTCCTTTCACTGGTCCTTGACGTCTTTCCGCACCTCCAGCTCAAGACCGAGCGCGATGCCGCCGCCGCCGCCGCTGCCGCCGCCGCCGCTGCCGCCGCCCGCAAGGCTCGACAGGAGGAGATGCGCAAGAAGTATCGCGATCCGTAGCGCCACCCTCACCCACTCGCCCACCTTGTTCTTTGCCCTACCCAAGCCGACCATTTTACCGGCACCCGTTCAACCCGGCCAAGAACCGATTGTTGACCGAGTGTGCATGGAAGAGTTTGAGCGTGGTGTCTGATGGGCGATGGCGATGGCGATGGCGATGGCGATGGCGATGGCGATGGCGATGGTGATGGCGATGGCAGTGACTGGAGGGAGGCGATGGTTGTGATAGCGATGGTTGTGATAGCGATGGTTATGCAGGCGATGGTTATGATGGCGATGGTTGTGATGGTGATGGGCTGTGACTACGGGCGTGTCGGTCAAAAAAGGGAGGGAGGGGAGAGGAAGCGACGGGCGGACGGAAGACAACGGAAGGACTCCATGCCATTTCTGAGAAAAGGAGGCAAATGGAGGGAAGGAATGAACAAAGCCACAATTGAAGCATTGTTTCATCACACGACTCTCACACAACAACATGGGTACGTAGACGACATGGGCGAGAAAGGGAGATACGAGCATGTGCTGTGGACGACAGGTAGCTACAGAGATACAACTAGACCTGTTCTCCATCCTCTGACACTCTGTTGCTGTCTTTACATGGTTGTGTGTTGTGTATGGGTGGTGAGAAGGAGGCCATGACTGGCTGTTTCATGAATATTTGTGATGGCCTCCCCTTCGCCCTCCGCCCCACCCTGACCTTCCCCACCCCCATACCCATCCATTCCGCCCCACACTCACTCTCACACCATAACCATCAATATATAGGTAAGGTCCACGGTGGTCTCGCGCGTGCCGGCAAGGTCAAGAACCAGACTCCCAAGGTGGAGCCCACTGAGAAGGTACGTCCCACTTTGTATGATCTCCCCCCCCCCCTCTCCCTCCCCCCCTCTCCCTCCCTCCCATGACCACCACCCTTCCCAAAGGTCACCCACCCCTACCACAGTCACCCCCCCCCTTTCACCCCCTTCTCTAACCCCCCCCCCCCCCCACCCCACATATACTCACCCTCTCCCACTCTCTGCTCGACCGCCTTCTTCTAACTGCAGACCAAGCCGAAGACTGGCCGTGCCAAGAAGCGCGAGCTCTACACCAAGCGGTTCATCAACAAGTCGGACGACCGCCGCTCGCCCAACTCGAACTCGTAAAGAAGGTCATGCTGGCTGGTTGATAAACACCATACGCAGTGTGCTATCCAACTCCTCTCTGCTCCCCCCCCCCCCCCCTCCCCCCCCCCTTCCCGTCCCCCCATCATCATACACAGCTCAGCTTAGTTCAGCTCAGTCAATCATCCGCAGTATCGGCTGTCTTTATTCGACACGGACAAGCATGCTTAGGTTGTCCACCATCCGCACGTCGTCGCCAAACGAGACCAGCACGCCAACGTCGTCCATCGACGTGATGGTGCCGGTCATGCCCGAGTCGACCATCATGACCCGGTCGCCGTTGCTCGCCGGGTGGACCGCCGCCATGTCGCTGCCGGCCACCGTCGCCACACGCCCCGAGCTGAACCGGACGTCGGCGGTGCCGTCGGGCAGGGTGTGCGAGATGACGCCTTGCTCGTTGTTGACGGTGACAACCACGCCGGGCCGGGCAAAGGCCGGCAGCGGCGTTGCCGCGGGCGCGGGCGCCGCCGATGTGTACGCCACGTCCATCGGCGCCGGGCCGGGCGCCGGGGTGGTGTACGAGGCCGGGGCCGGGGTGGTGTACGATGCTGGCGCCGGGGTGGTGTACGAAGCCGTGGCGGTTTTTTTCGGGCGTGGTGTACGAGGCGGGTGCCGGAGTGGTGTAAGAGGCCGTGCCGGCGGGCGCCGGAGTGGTGTACGAGGCTGCGGCGTAGCCGCCGGGAGCCGACGGCGGCGCCGGGGTGGTGTACGAGGCCGGGGCCGGGGTGGTGTACGAAGCCGTGCCGGCAGGCGCTGGGGTGGTGTACGAGGCTGCGGCGGAGCCCGGAGCGGCCCGACGAGTACGTGCCCCACGACGAGGCGG